TGGAATGGTACGAACTCCTGCAGGTTGGACATGGAGGACCTCTCAGTGACTCTACAAGTCTGCATGACATTCCTGATAGGTCAGAGATAATTAGGGAGGAGCTTGGCATGTTCTGGTTCCTGGATCGAATCCATGTGAATGGTCCCACCGGAATGCTATCACCTGCACTGGGTCAGCCATCTGGGGCCCGGACACTCCCAGCCCCACAGATATACGAGGGACCTCGGCTGCAGATGATGAGCTCATCCCCAGTCACAATATACAGCAAAAGTATTGATTTCATCATTACAAAGCCGTCCTGGAGCTCCAGTCAGTAACTGTGCCTAGGCTGAGATGATGTCATCAGTCTGCTGCAGGCAGGAGGAAGCATTTCCTCAGTCTCTCCTCCCCCAGTGATCAGACTGTACATTGTAACTTTGTAGAAGGAGGAGGAGGCATTTCCTCAGTCTCCCTCCCCAGTGTTCAGACTGTACATTGTAACTTTGCAGCCAGTCTCAAGGTGAGAGGCTGCAGCAGGGGCTGATCTGTGACAGACATTTGTGAACACAGCCAAGGCACCAGCACTGCCATGGTTGTGTCATCTCTGAGCCGGGATCTCAGTGCAGGAAGTAGATGGCTGAACAAAGATGGCTCCGTCCTTCTGGAGAGAGAAGAGCATTGTTGGGGGGGGGGGGGGGGGGGTGATCCCTGTGACGGGTAATAAATACCTGGAAGTGTTGAAGTCGCCTATCTGATGACAGGTCCTCTTTATTGATCATTCCCAGGACTCCAGTGACCTGATCAGGGAACTGGCCCCCCCCCCCCCTCTGATACCCCCCCCATGAGGGTTAACCAGGAAGCTTGCTAACAGGGGGGGCGGTAATAGAAGACCGGACTTTAAATTGATTTGCGCCGTCTATATTTCATGCTGGAAATTGGCTTGTGAGCCGCGTTTTGATCTATGGCGACCGTCTCCTTAAGAAAAAGCAAAAGTAAATGTGTAATTTCTCCCTTGACAGAACACGGCACAGCCGGCCATCCTTCTTCCCTCTCCCCGCCGTGGCGGGACAGCTGCGTCGTGTCGGATTAACGCCTCCCCCCCCCCCTCTCCTCGCCCCCCCCCCACGCCTTGATGTCTCCATTTCATTACGCCGCGGCCATTTATCAAGTTGTTACCGTAAGGGTGACTTTGCCAACTTGCATGTGGCAGGCGGTGAGGCAGTGCCATGCTATGAGGATCGGGGGGGGGGGGGCGCCGTGCTATGAGGATCGGGGGGGCCATGCTATGAGGATCAGGGGGGGAGTGCCATGATACGAGGATCGGGGGGGCCATGCTACGATGATCGGGGGGGCCATGATACGAGGATCGGGGGGGCGCCATGCTATGAGGATCGGGGGGGGCCGTGCTACGAGGATCAGGGGGGCCATGATACGAGGATCGGGGGGGCCATGTCTACGAGGATCAAGGGGGCCATGCTGTGAGGATCGGGGGCGCCGTGTTACAAGGATCAGGGGGGTGCCTTGCTACGAGGATCAGGGGGGCCATGCTACGAAGATCGGGGAGGGGTGCCGTGCTACGAGGATCGGGGGGGGTGCTTGCTGCTGCGAGGATCAGGGGGGGGCCATGCTACGAGGATCATGGGGTGGTGCCGTGCTACGAGGATCAGAGGGGGGTGCTGCGAGGATCACGGGGGGTGCTGCAAGGATCAGGGGGGGCCATGCTACGAGGATCGAGGGGGTGCCTTGCTACAAGGATGGGGGGGGGCCATGCTACGAGGATCAGGGGGGCCCATGCTACGAAGATCGGGGGGGTGCCATGCTACGAGGATCGGGGGGGTGCTACGAGGATCGGGGGGGGGTGCTACGAGGATCAGGGGGGCCATGCTTCGAGGATCGAGGGGGTGCCTTGCTACAAGGATGGGGGGGGCATGCTACAAGGATCGGGGGGGTGCTGTGAGGATCAGGGGGGGCCCATGCTTCAAGGATCGAGGGGGTGCCTTGCTACAAGGATGGGGGGGGCCATGCTACGAGGATCAGGGGGGCCATGCTACGAAGATCGGGGGGGTGCCATGCTACGAGGATCGGGGGGGTGCTACGAGGATCGGGGGGTGTTACGAGGATCAGGGGGGCAATGCTACGAGGATCATGGGGGGGGGGTGCCGTACTACGAGGATCAGGGGGGGGGTGCTGCGAGGATCGGGGGGCCGTGCTACGAGGATCGGGGGAGAGGGTGCTACGAGGATCGGGGGGGTGCTGTGAGGATCAGGGGGGGCCATGCTACGAGGATCGGAGGGGGGTGCTGCAAGGATCAGGGGGGGCCATGCTACGAGGATCAGGGGGGGGCACCGCCGTAGTGGAGGCAGGATGAGGAGACATGGAAATGAATGTGCGGCAGAAGCTGCTCTTCCCAGTGATGTGTGAATGATAGAGCCGCCTCGACATCCATCTCCCCGCAAACCCGCAGAGTGCTCTATAATCAAGACCCGGCGATCATAATGTGGAATTAGGCCTCTCTATCAAAGGTGGGGGGGGTGGGGGGGGGAGGTTTAATCACGGCTTAAAGGGTGCGAGTGCTGTTTATCATAATTGAACTGTATCAGGGCTAATTGCGCCCATATTTCTCCGTCGCCGTCTCGGGAGGCCTCCGGCGCCTCTTCTGCGGGTTCCCAGCGACTCCCAGAGCCGCGCCTGGCCTTCCCGCCTTCCCAAACATTTCTCCTGACAAATCCTGGCGGACCGTTTAGCCGCTGAGGCGTGCGGTGAGTCGGCGGGAATTAAACGGCGCGGCGAAGTGAAGGAGTAATTAGCAGAAGCAATTAATATGGTTTCTTAACTCCTTCATGTAATTATTACTCAATTAGCCGCCAGATTATCCCCCTCCCTTGTTAATGAGGAGATATTGCTCTGCGCGCCGCCAAACGGCCCGAGAAAACCGCGCGACCGCGGGAAACCCCCCTGACGGTACTACGAGGGCGTCCCCAAAATGTGCGGGAACCCCCCCCCGAAGTTAATAAGAGGGCGTCTCCAAAAGTGCAGGAAGCCCCCGAAGTTAATAAGAGGGCATCCCCAAAAGTGCGGGAACCCCCCGAAGTTAATAGGAGGGCATCCCCAAAAGTGCAGGAACCCCCCCGAAGTTTATAAGAGGGCGTCCCCAAAAGTGCGGGAACCCCCCTCGACGTTAATATGAGGGCATCCCCATAAGTGTGGGAACCCCCCCCCCGACGTTAATATGAGGGCGTCCCCATAAGTGTGGGAACCCCCCCCGACGTTAATATGAGGACATCCCCATAAGTGTGGGAACCCCCCCCGACGTTAATATGAGGGCGTCCCCAAAAGTGCGGGAACCCCCCCAACATTAATAAGAGGGCATCCCCAAAAGTGCAGGAACCCCCCCGAAGTTTATAAGAGGGTGTCCCCAAAAGTGCGGGAACCCCCCGACATTAATAAGAGGGTGTCCCCAAAAGTGCGGGAACCCCCTAATGTTAAAAAGAGGGCGTCCCCGAAAGTGTGGGAACCCCTCTGACGTTAATAAGAGGGCGTCCCCAAAAGTGCGGGAACCCCTCCGACATTAATAAGAGGGTGTCCCCAAAAGTGTGGGAACCCCCTGATGTTAAAAAGAGGGCATCCCCGAAAGTGTGGTAACCCCTCCGACATTAGTAAGAGGGCATCCCCAAAAGTGCGGGACCCCCCCCGATATTAATAAGAGGGAGTCCCCAAAAGTGCGGGAACCCCCCTGACATTAATAAGAGGGCATCCCCAAAAGCGCGGGAACCGAGACGTTAAAAAGACGGCATCCCCAAAAGTTTGGTAATGCGTCCCAAAAGTGCCGGAACCCCTCTGACGTTAATAAGAGGGCGTCCCCAAAAGTGCGAGGTACCCCCCCGATGTCAATAAGAGGGTATCCCCAAAAGTGCAGGAAGCCCTCCGATGTTAATATGAGGGCATCCCCAATAGTGCAGGAACCCCCCCCCCCCCACATTAATAAGAGTGCGTCCCCAAAAGTGCAGGAACCCCTCCGGTGTTAATAAGAGGGTGTCCCTAAAAGTGTGGGAACCCCCCACGCTAATAAGAGGGCGTCCCCAAAAGTGCTGCATCTGCGAGTAGTAATTATAATACACCGGATGGCGGGCCGGTACTTCACCTCTTCTGCTTCTACATAGTCAATGAGTGTGTTAGCTCTCATGTGGAGGCACTGAGCAGGCTAGATACTGAGCCATGGGGAGCAGAAAAGAACTGTCAAACGTTCTGCATAACAAGGTAATGGGACTTTATAAAGATGGAAAAGGATATAAACAGATATCCAAAGCCCTGAATATGCCGGTCAGTGCAGTTCAATCACTTATTAAGAAGTGGAAAATTCGGGAATGCTCTCATACCAAGCCAAGGTCAGGTAGACCAAGAAAGATGGCAGCCACAACCGCCAGAGGAATTGTTCGGGATACAAAGAAAACCCCCCACAGGTCACCTCAGGAGAACTACAGGCTGCTCTGCAAAAAAAAAAAGGCATTGTCCACCTTTTAGGAACTGAAATGCGCCGATAATGTTTGCATTCAGGCCTGCAGAGCGCTGCACATGCAATCCAAGCATCATGGGTGTGATGAGCATGCTCCTGCATTGTTTGCCCCAAGCCCCAGGTATGTATGGAGGTAGAGACCTTCTGTTAGGGTGTTGGAGGAAATTCGGAATGTCAGGCCGTTGGGTGTTATCCTGAACTCGGACCTCCCCTCTGCCCCGCGCCAATCACTGTCCAAATCTTGCAGATTTCACTTCCATAACATTTCCAAAATCTGCCCCTTCTTAACCAACAAAACCACCGAGCCACCAATCCACTGCCGGGTCACCTGCCCCCTGGACTACCCTGGACTAATGCACCTCCCTGTTTACTGGACTACCTCCAATCAGATCATCCCCACTTCAGTCCATCGGAAATGCTGTCACCAGACTGCTCAACATCTACCACCCCTCTATGCCGATCCCTCCACTGACCTCCACTGAGTGTCCTCCACCCCTCTCTGCCGATCCCTCCACTGAGTGTCCTCCACCCCTCTCTGCCAATCCTTCCACTGACCTCTACTGAGTGTCCTCCACCCCTCTCTGCCAATCCCTCCACTGACCTCTACTGAGTGTCTCCACCCTCTCTGCCAATCCCTCCACCGAGTGTCCTCCACCCCTCTGCCGATCCCTCCACTGACCTCTACTGAGTGTCCTCCACCCCTCTCTGCCAATCCCTCCACTGAGTGTCCTCCACCCCTCTGCCGATCCCTCCACTGACCTCTACTGAGTGTCCTCCATCCCTCTCTGCCAATCCCTCCACTGAGTGTCCTCCACCCCTCTGCCGATCCCTCCACTGACCTCTACTGAGTGTCCTCCACCCCTCTCTGCCAATCCCGCCACTGACCTCCAGTCAGTTTCCTCCACCCCTCTCTGCCGATCCCTCCACTGACCTCTCATGAGTGTCCTCCATCCCTCTCTGCCGATCCCTCCACTGACCTCTACTGAGTGTCCTCCACCGCTCTCTGCCGATCCCTCCACTGACCTCTACTGAGTGTCCTCCACCCCTCTCTGCCGATCCCTCCACTGAGTGTCCTCCATCCCTCTCTGCCGATCCCTCCACTGACCTCTACTGAGTGTCCTCCACCCCTCTCTGCCGATCCCTCCACTGACCTCTACTGAGTGTCCTCCACCCCTCTCTGCCAATCACTCCACTGACCTCTACTGAGTGTCCTCCACCCCTCTCTGCCGATCCCTCCACTGAGTGTCCTCCACCCCTCTCTGCCGATCCCTCCACTGACCTCTACTGAGTGTCCTCCACCCCTCTCTGCCAATCACTCCACTGACCTCTACTGAGTGTCCTCCACCCCTCTCTGCCGATCCCTCCACTGAGTGTCCTCCATCCCTCTCTGCCGATCCCTCCACTGACCTCTACTGAGTGTCCTCCACCTCTCTATGCCGATCCCTCCACTGACCTCTACTGAGTGTCCTCCACCCCTCTATGCCGATCCCCCACTGACCTTTACTGAGTGTCCTCCACCCCTCTCTGCAAATCCCCCCATTGGCTTCCCATTACCCAAAGAAAAAAAAAAAGCAAAATACTGTCATCATACACAGTCATCCTCTGAGCTCCTTTCAAGATCTCCTCACTTCCTCCCATAACACCTCCGAGACTTCAGAATCCAGAATCCCTTCCATTCCCCTGAAACTCCCTAACCCAATCTGTCTGGCTGTCTCCTCCCCTCCGCTAGTCAGATCTAGTTGATCTCTTCAGGTAGTCTATCCCACCTCCACCTAACAGCTGAGCTTGTACTTTCACCATCATCCCCCCCCCCCCACAGTTAGTACCACCTATATCATTTGCCCCACCCTATTAGATTGTAAGCTCTCCCGACAAGGCCCCCTCCTAACCCTCAATGTTTAGTTGATTTTGATTTGTCCAGAGTTTGAAGGGGGTGGAGATATAATCCTGCCGATATTGCTTTTTAAAAAAAATTAGTCGAAACCTCCAAAAACCAACAAAAAAAAACACCAGTCAGGAGTCAGCCATTAACCACTTCCAGTCCGGACACTTCCCCCCCTTCCAGTCCGGACACTTTCCTCCCCTTCCTGTCCGGACGCTTTCCCCCCCTTCCAGTCCGGACGCTTTCCCCCCCCCCCCCCTTCCAGTCCGGACGCTTTCCCCCCCCCCCCTTCCAGTCCGGACGCTTTCCCCCCCTTCCAGTCCGGACGCTTTCCCCCCCTTCCAGTCCGGACGCTTTCCCCCCCTTCCAGTCCGGACGCTTTCACCCCCTTCCAGTCCGGACGCTTTCCCCCCCTTCCAGTCCGGACGCTTTCCCCCCCTTCCAGTCCGGACGCTTTCACCCCCTTCCAGTCCGGACGCTTTCCCCCCCTTCCAGTCCGGACGCTTTTCCCCCCCTTCCAGTCCGGACGCTTTCCCCCCCCTTCCAGTCCGGACGCTTTCCCCCCCCCCTTCCAGTCCGGACACTTTCCCCCCCATTCCAGTCTGGACACTTTCCCCCCCCTTCCAGTCCGGACACTTTCCCCCCCCTTCCAGTCCGGACACTTTCCCCCCCCTTCCAGTCCAGACACTTCCCCCCCCTTCCAGTCCGGACGCTTTCCCCCCCCTTCCAGTCCAGACACTTCCCCCCCCTTCCAGTCCGGACACTTTCCCCCCCCTTCCAGTCCAGACACTCCCCCCCCCCCCCCAGGCCAATTTTCAGCTTTCAGCGCTATCACACTTTGAATGACAATTGCGCGGTCATGCAACACTGCACCCATATGAATTTTTTAGCATTTTTTTGAGACAGATAAAATGTTATTTTGGTGGTATTTATTCATTGCTGGGAGTTTTATTTTTTTTTGCTATATAAATGAAAAAGTCCATAAATTTTGAAAAAAAGTGTTTTTCTTATAAAATTTTGCAAATAAATAATCTTTCATCATAAATCTCGGCCAACATTTATTCCGTTATCTTTTTAGTAAAAACAAATAACCCAAATTAGCTTATAACCAAAAATTATAATTTTTAAAAAATGTTTTTACATTTTTATATTTGGGTTTTTTGTTTTTTTTTATATACTGTCACCCTAGCAGTGTGGGGTCACCATGGTGAAACTGTACTACTTGTGGGGGGTGATGAAGATTTTTTTTTCTTTTTATAACCCATAAAGGCTGTACAATCATTTCTCCTTCTCTCTGGCTGCATTCCTGCAGCCATTGAGAAATACTGTGTGAGCTGTGATTGGTCACAGCTTGTCACATGGTACAAGGCTGTTGTGAATGGCCCTGTACCATGTGATCTCTGTGATCATTTACACATTTCACACGTAGTAAGCAATGATGTTAGAAGTGACATCTTGCTTACTACTATTCATGTGATCACTGATTGGCCAATCAGTTTTTCTCTTTGGATCTTCAATCTCCGCCCTCCCCGTTCAGCATCATGTGATCACTGATTGGCCAATCAGTTTTTCTCTTTGGATCTTCAATCTCCGCCCTCCCCGTTCAGCATCATGTGATCACTGATTGGTCAATCAGTTTTTCTCTTTGGATCTTCAATCTCCGCCCTCCCCGTTCAGCATCATGTGATCACTGATTGGCCAATCAGTTTTTCTCTTTGGATCTTCAATCTCCGCCCTCCCCCGTTCAGCATCATGTGATCACTGATTGGCCAATCAGTTTTTCTCTTTGGATCTTCAATCTCCGCCCTCCCTGTTCAGCATCATGTGATCACTGATTGGCCAATCAGTGACCACATGATCAGGACCTCCCACAGAGGTCCCATACGACGATCAGTGTTCCACTGTGTCCGGAGGACACATCGGGCACCAGATCGTGGTGCTGCGCACTCCCTGGGAGTGCGCACAAGCAGGGGGCGGGGACGCCATTTATAAACGGCCACCCTCCCCTGCACTGCCACCGTCTGGCCGTTTACATACATGGGCCAGACAGGAAGAGGTTAAAAAAGCAATACAAAGATAAGGATCCGGATGAAGTTTGATTTTCTTTTTCTTCTCTCTGAAGATCTGAGAACTTCGGTGAAGTTGAGGAAAACATGAATTGGATATAATTTTGTTTCTCCGTCATTTCAGATCTTCGTTGTCCTCCAGCTTTGGACAGATTTGAGTCTACACGCCACCCTTACATGTGTGTACACGGATGTAGGAGGCGTGTTGTATACTGGAAGGATGTAGAGGACGCCGTGCTATCAGCACTGAGTTAAGGTCACCTACAGCCAAAGAAGAAAAAAAAAAAAACTTTTAATTAAACTTAAAGCTCTTTGCGCTGCCTGGGGCGCCGCGTTCCGGGTCTAGTTACATTTTCGCATATGACAGAGCCGGCAGCTCCCCGAACAGGACGACAAGTCATTCCGGTAATTTTGAGCTAATGGACAGGGTTATGTCCCCAATAACTTAGCCATGAATTGGGCTGCACAGCGGCGGGATCATTGCTCTGGACTGACAGCGCCTGAATCCCATCACTGCGCACGGAACGCACTTGGCTGCAGGCGGCGGAGACGGAGAGATCCAGGAGGTATTAACTCTTCCTAATGGACAGCGCGCATCGGATGCTGAACGGGGAGGACGGAGATTGAAGAGCCAAAGAGAAAAACTTTCGGTGCTCAAAAATCTGCTTCAGCGGCAGAAAAAAACAAAAAAGGTGGCGAGAGCCGAACTGCGCTCATCTTCACGGGGCTGAGACAACCCTGGCAAGGCGGCCACGGCGGGGGGCCACACCGAAGCAAGAGACCGGATTTCCCCCGGAACTTATATAAACATCTGAATTCATCGATGCAAAGATGGCACGCCATGACTAGTCTCCTTGTGTAACAGAATACCAGGACATGCCCACAGTGGGGTGTATGTGGAAAGGACAGGACACACCCATAGTGGGGTGTATGTGGAAAGGACAGGACACACCCATAGTGGGGTGTATGTGGAAAGGACAGGACACACCCATAGTGGGGGGTAAGTGGAAACAGAAAACACTGGGTGTATGTGGACAGCATGGGACATGCCCAAAGTGGGGTGTATGTGGAAAGGACAGGACACACTCATAGTGGGGTGTATGTGGAAAGGACAGGACACACTCATAGTGGGGTGTATGTGGAAAGGACAGGACATGCCCAAAGTGGGGTGTATGTGGAAAGGACAGGACACACCCATAGTGGGGTGTATGTGGAAAGGACAGGACATGCCCACAGTGGGGTGTATGTGGAAAGGACAGGACATGCCCAAAGTGGGGTGTATGTGGAAAGGACAGGACATGCCCAAAGTGGGGTGTATGTGGAAAGGACAGGACACACCCATAGTGGGGTGTATGTGGAAAGGACAGGACACACCCATAGTGGGGGGTAAGTGGAAACAGAAACACTGGGTGTATGTGGACAGCATGGGACATGCCCAAAGTGGGGTGTATGTGGACAGCATGGGACATGCCCAAAGTGGGGTGTATGTGGAAAGGACAGGGCACACCCATAGTGGGGTGTATGTGGAAAGGACAGGGCACACCCATAGTGGGGTGTAAGTGGAAACAGCAAACACTGGGTGTATGTGGAGAGCATGGGACATGCCCAAAGTAGGGTGTATGGGCAAAAAGCAGGACATGCTCACAGTAGTGTGTATGTGAAAAGGACAGGGCCCACCCAATGCAGGGTGTATGTGGAGAGAGCAGGACATACCCACAGTGGGGTGTACGTGGAAAGGACAGGACATGCCCACAGTGGGGTGTATGTGGAAAGGACAAGACACACCCATAGTGGGGTGTATGTGAAAAGGACAGGACACACCCATAGTGGGGGGTAAGTGGAAAAGACAGGACACACCCATAGTGGGGGGTACGTGGAAACAGAAAACATTGGGTGTATGTGGAGAGCATGGGACATGCCCAAAGTGGGGTGTATGTGGAGAGCACAGGACATACCCAAAGTGGGGTGTATGTGGAAAGGAGAGGACACACCCATAGTGGGGTGTAAGTGGAAACAGAAAACATTGGGTGTATGTGGAGAGCACAGGACATGCCCAAAGTGGGGTGATGTGGAAAGGACAGGACATGCCCAAAGTGGGGTGTATGTGGAAAGGACAGGACACACCCATAGTGGGGGGTAAGTGGAAACAGAAAACATGTTGGGTGTATGTGGAGAGCATGGGGCATGCCCAAAGTGGGGTGTAAGTGGAAACAGCAAACACTGGGTGTATGTGGACAGCATCAGACATGCCCAAAGTGGGGTGTATGTGGAAAGGACAGGACAGGACACACCCATAGTGGGGGTAAGTGGAAACAGCAAACACTGGGTGTATGTGGAGAGCATGGGACATGCCCAAAGTGGGGTGTATGGGCAAAAAGCAGGACATGCTCACAGTAGTGTGTATGTGAAAAGGACAGGGCCCACCCAATGCAGGGTGTATGTGGAGAGAGCAGGACATACCCACAGTGGGGTGTATGTGGAAGTACACGCCCCAAAACAGTGAATGTGGAGAGGGCAGAGCACGTCCACAATGGGGTATACGAGGCAGGACAGTGGGGTGTACATGGAGGGTGTAGATGGTTCTTGACAATGATTGGCCTCAAAGCTCTGTGTGTATTGTGACCCATCACCTCCGTCCGACTGATTCTTGGCTGACGGTGACTCGGCGCTGCCAAGCCGGCGGCTTCAGCTCACTAAATCACTTAGCAAGACGGATTCCCATCCAGAGCGCGGTAAACACGCTTATTATAATTATCCGCACATCAAAAAAATAAATAAAATAACAATGGCAGAACAGGCTGCTAATATGCAATTACAGGTCCTCATTGATTTTTCCATGTAATCTGCAGCGACTGATTTAATAACACATCAAATGCCGCCGCGCTCTGGGGAGGCCAAACCAGAGATTTTTATAAACTCTAATCAGAGACAAAAAGACGCGACGTCTGCGTTTGGGGATTATTCGCTATCTGATCGCACCAGAAAACGGGCTGCCGGGGCCTCCAAAAAGTGGTCCCAGGCCACACGCAGTACCATCATCTGAGACAATTCCACCGATGTCCCATCGTGTTCAGAAGACTGAATATTCATGTATTGTGATGATCTCATCAGAGATTTGCTGACGCCTGTTTAGAGGCCCGGAGCTTATGGCACTTTTGGGCATTTCGGTACCCTAAGAGAACCTGTCTTCAACCTACGGCGCAGGACGTTCAAGGAATGAATTTGCTGATCGAGTTACACAGCGAATACTATGTGGCCAAACGTTTGTGGGCATCTGATCATCACACATACATTGGCTTCTGTTGGACAACCCACTCCAAATCCATGGCCATTAATGTGGAGTTGCCCTCTCCCACCATGGCTATTAATATTGAGTTGTCCTCCCCCCATGGCCATTTAGATGACGTTACCTCCTCCCCCATGGTTGTTGGTATGGAGATACCCTCTTCCACCATGGACACTGATATGGATCTGCCCTCTCCCTCTATGACTATTAATATGGAATGGACATTATGAAGTTATATGAAGTTACCCCCTCCCCCCATGGTTGTTGGTATGGAGTTTCCCTCTTCCCCCATGGACACTGATATGGATCTGCCCTCTCCTTCTATGACTATTAATATGGAATGGGCATTTTGAAGTTACCCCCTCCCCCCCCATGGTTGTTGGTATGGAGTTGCCCTCTTCCCCCATGGACACTGATATGGATCTGCCCTCTCCCTCTATGACTATTAATATGGAATGGACATTATGAAGTTATATGAAGTTACCCCCTCCCCCCATGGTTGTTGGTATGGAGTTGCCCTCTACCCCCATGGACACTGATATGGATCTGCCCTCTCCCTCTATGACTATTAATATGGAATGGACATTATGAAGTTATATGAAGTTACCCCCTCCCCCCATGGTTGTTGGTATGGAGTTGCCCTCTACCCCCATGGCTACTGATATGGATCTGCCCTCTCCCTCTATGACTATTAACATGGAATGGGCATTTTGAAGTTATATGAAGTTACCCCCTCCCTCCATAGTCATTCATATGAAGATGCCCTCCCCCATGACCATTATGATGGAGTTACTCCTTTCCCCTGTGGTTAATACGGAGCTTGTCTGTTCTTCTCTGTCCACTAATATGGAGTTGCCCCCCTCCCTCCATGGCCATTAATACAAAGTTTCCACTTTCAATGGTCATTAATATGAAGTTGCCCTCCCCCATGACCATTATGATGGAGTTACTCCTTTTCCCTGTGGTTATTAATATGGAGCTGATCTGTCCTTCTCTTGGCCACTAAGATGGAGTTGCCCCCATGGCCATTAATACAAAGCTTCCACTTTCCATGGTCATTAATATGAAGTTGCCCTCCCCCATGACCATTATGATGGAGTTACTCCTTTCCCCTGTGGTTATTAATATGGAGCTTATCTGTCCATCTCTTGGCCACTAATATGGAGTTGCCCCCCTCCCTCCATGGCCATTAATACAAAAATTCCACTTTCCATGGTCATTAATATGAAGTTGCCCTTCCCCATGGTCATTTACATGGACTTGCCCTCTCTCCCCCAATGGCCATTCATTTGGAATTGCTATCTCCTCCCATGGTCATTTCCATGAAGTTGCCCTCCCCCATGACCATTAATATAAAGTTGCCTTCCCCCATGGCCATTAATATAGAGTTCCCCCCCCCTCCCCCCATGGCCATTAATATGGAGTTGTCCCTTCCCTCTATGGCCATTAATATGGAGTCGATCCCACCCACCACAGCCATTAATAGAGAGTTCACGGCACCCTCCCACCCACCACCATGACCACCAATATGGAGTTGCCCCCTTTATGGCTACATCCTCCACTCTTCTGGGAAGGTATTTCAGAGAGTTTTGGAGGGTGTCTGTGAGAAATTGTGCCCATTTGTGAAGTAAGTTACTAATGTTGGATGAGAAGACCTGGCTCACCATCAGCGTTCCAATTCATCCCAAATGTGTTCAGTGGGGTTGAGG